TATTCCAACTGACTGATTTCCATCTCAACCTTGGGTCTGGAATTCAACTGGCTTGAATATTCATTAACGAATTCTATGACATGAGCATTCACTACTGAATTCTTCGGTATCCAGAATGACACGTATACACACCGATATTTTGTTTATTTTTGACTTATACGCGTCACGGGTTATCGCCTAAGAATTCATTAGCAGTAATAATGGCGAGACAATTGACCGCGTATTAGTTATGCTAAATTCCCTGCATATGGTGAAATGTCTGCGTAGTTTGTTTTTACCCAACCGGAAGTTCAGAGACGGTACGGGCAGCCGTCTGAAAAGGCGTTGCGGAAGACCCTCAGACGCAGTAAAGAACCAAAATTGGCGTACCCCTTCAAATCCAGTTGACTGATTTACCATACTGACGACACAGGTGTTAGCTAAAAGCCCAGACAGGTGCTTCACCGATCACGACACAGATGAGGGGCTCGGCTGTGCTTCCCGGTATATACACCAGTTCCCAAATTTAGCCTTTTTAACCTCCGCAGGAATAAATGCTCTGACTTGGGGCGAGCCATTCAGAATGACGCTTTTAGCTCGTACCTATGATTTCAATACGTCAATTCATGCAACATGCGTATGTTACTCTCTGCTTGCTGATTGTCTATGAATAGTACGCAACCATTCCACTAGAGCCGACAGATTTCGACCCGTATATCAGCCCCGGGAGTGAGCCCGAATGACCAACTCCATGTTAGCATATAAATTTCGGAGATTTCAGAGCTGACATTTCTAACTCCATCGGTTAAACAGAAGAAGTGAGTAAACATCCTTCTCACTGAGTTGTCAAGGTTCTTTGAACGATTACTCATATGCATCTGACAATGATAACGTCGTCCTAGACAACGAAGGTCCGAGTCCAGTCAGCAGTTGCTAAGAGCAATTTGGCAGTCTTCCAAGCTGACAGTCGCAGACCACCACGAGGAACCTGGGGAAAAACTAAGAATTTTCCCAGACACCATTGGGACCAAATTCGAAGCACGCTTCTACTGCAACCAATCAGCCAACGCGATAACGCCACTTTGGACATCCGCTTTGACCACTAGGCAGGGGTTTATGGCTTCGACTAACCGCTCGAAAGCGAGACAATTTAAGAAACCACTCTGTAAACTGTTCATT